TTCTTCTTCTTCTTCTTCTTCTTCTTCTTCTTCTTCTTCTTCTTCTTCTTCTTCTTCTTCTTCTTCTTCTTCTTCTTCTTCAGCAGACCTCACACCTACTCCTTATGCTATTCTCACGCCATCTGAGGCTGGCAAAGCGTTGTTCACATGCGCACTGGAGTTTAGAACAACTAGAGGAAATGCACACTACACTTTCCCCACTTGAAAGCAAAATGGGGAGGGGGGTAGCCAGAACATCCCCCACACACACCCATTCCAGGACTCTGAAGCTAAGAGAAATCAAGGAATGAGGACTCTACTTATTCACCCTTAGCATACATTTCTTTTAAAAGGATCTAGTTGAGAGGGTTTGCACAAGGCAATGCTATGTCACGAAGACTACCCATGCCTTTTCTTTCAAATAGTAAGGCCCTGTGCTATAGAAGGAAGTAGCAACTTCCCTCACTAGGAATCATACGAAGTTCATTCTTTGTCATCAACAGTATATTTGTGACCAATATTTGCCCTAGGCTCAGATTCTCTAGCCATAAAATCTTGACTGTGAGGGACCTGTCCCTACCTGTGCTTATGAATAGGCCCTGGGAATTCTGATCAAAGGTTTAAAGTCCATCTATTCCTTGGGACTGACATTCTAAATCCAGTAACCAGTCACATTTTCAGTAATAAAAAAAAACTCAGGAATCCCTTGTGAAAGGAGAGTCCAGGAGAAGTGGAAGATGCCCGGACCTTTTGGACCTCACTTCCACACACCCTGAGATTCCCTGGTCCTCCAGGCTTCCTTCAAGATCAACTTGGGCCTACTGCTTCAGGCTCAGAGCTAAAGGGCACTATCAAGTCAGTAACGCTTTTACACCTAGCACAGTGAACTTTTCCCTTGTCCAAAAGACCCACATAAAACTACAATTTGTGACATTCTTGTCCCAGATGCCCCAAAGGCCTATCACTCCGGGGGCAGGGGCGGGGGGGGGGGGGAGTTCTTGAGTCTTCTGACTCCCTAGGAAGATCCAGTTATGTCCCAAATAAAGCTACTTTGTTTTTGGCTCACAAAAGCCCTCCAAGAGGGCTTTGAGATCCTGGCTGTTTTACTTCTTAAAGCAAGAATAAGTCTGAGCAGGAGTTGAGATGAAAAACCAAACTCCTTCCAGGCCAAGATCCCCGGGCCAGCATGTAGACTTCCCAGAGAATGAGGGCATCAGTGGTCACCTTGTGTCCACCCGTCTCCTGACTTTGGAAGAAAGTCCAGACTCTCTCTTCATTCCAGCTCTGACTTCTCTCTCGAATCCCATCCCCAGCACAGAACCCTCAAAGGCAACACGTCCTTTTTCTGACCCCAAGGACTTTTTGGTGTCCTCCGCCAGGCAGCTGCTCTCAGTCAGGGCGGCCTGCACCCGGGGCTCCGGTGACTGTGCTCCAGGCCCCGGCACTGCCCTGGCGCACCCCGCTCTGCCCAGGGATCCCCGAGGCCAGGGTTTTGGCTGAGCGTCCGCGATCCGCCCCCATCTCCATCCGCGCGCGCCTATTACAGCTCGCGGCCACACTCCCTCCCCTGCGGGACCTTGGCGCCCCGGTCGCTCAGCTCTCCGCCACCCTCCCTCACCGCTAACAACTGCAGTTTAAGAAGTCGCGAGTCCCTGTGACCACACTTGGACCAGCCGCCCCGGCTCCAAAGTTCCTCTCCCCGTCCCCCAGGATGGTCCCGGAGCTCACCGCGAGGGTCAGCAGGTGCCCCAGACCGAGGGCTGGGTTCCTGGAGAGCTTAGGTCTCGCAGCCGCCATGGCCAGCTCAAGGGACAGGTCGCCGCCCTGCACCCGCTGCGCAGAGGTGGAACGCGCACAGGCGCTTTTCTCACACCGGTCTGATGCTCCCGCCTTGGTCCCCAGGGGCTTTTCCTCTGCCGAGGGTGGAGCTCCAGGCAAGTCCAGAAGACTCCAGTGGGCCACTCCTTGTTATTTTTCCTGAGTCTTCATGGCTTTAAGAATCCGACCGGTAGGAACTCCCTCTCGACGCCACCCTTTCACCTGGTTAGGTGTTTCTCGCCAGCCTGCAGACGCCACCTATATGTCCCTTGTCACCCCCCCCGCCCCCACCCCGCCCCGGTGGCCGCCTGGCAGGATTAACAGCTGGCCCTGCCCAGCAGGAGCCCTGACTGTACTTAGACTCATCGGAGAGCTCTGGCCCTCACCCCGCCCAGCGCACTGCCCGCTGCAGGAGGAGGTCTCTGCCCTGAGGTTAACTCCCAGACCCACAACTACCCTGGATTAACTGGCTGAATTAGTCACAGCTGCCTGAAGCTAGCCTGATAAGAGCTGGACTCAAGACAGATTCTACTGTGCAAATCAAAGTCCCACTGACATGGAAATAAGGTTCCAATAGGAGTTCCATCCTAGAAGGTCTCAAGGTTTAGAAATTACGCACATTGACACCGGTTCTATAATTTAGGGAGAAAAGGAAAGTTAGGAAGGGAGCTAAGGAAAGGGGGCAGGAGTAGGGTGAGAGGGAAGGAGGAAAGGGAGGAAGGAGGGAAGGACGAAATAATAAAAACCAAAGTTACCCAAAGTCACAAGAAAGTCACAACACATCAACTGAGGCCTACCCTTGCTGTATCTGAAGAGGTTTTCCTGTGATTTTCTCGGAACAGCACCCACATGAGAGTCGTGGGTGTCCTGGTACCGATTATTGTTCTCTGTACTGTCATCAGGATTAGAGTTCATGGTGAAAAGTGAACAAGAACAGGAGAATTTGCGTTCTGCATTGATATGCGCGTAAGCCTGAGTTACAGGGGTTTAACCAGGAAGTTAAGTCTGAGAGCTCCTTGCTTTGCGCCGACTCCTTTTTCTGACTCACCCTTCTGCACCTCTTTTCAAAGCGACCTTGAAAGTCTCCTCAGGAAGACAAATGTGTCCTTTCCCGGTTGCCTGGTTTAAGGACAGTTACAGAAACCAAGTTGCAAGAGCTGACGACAGCACTCAGTACCGTTTCAGTTATCAAAAATGTCCCCCCCCCCCCGCTATGAACAGAGCCCAGAATGATAATGATACCAATCACATGTTAAACCCCAAATTAATGTCTAGTGGTAAATGCCTGACCTGGTGCTTTCTATTAATGAATGCTGCACCAGTGGGTGTTCTATTGTCTCCGTAGCCATAAAAGTACCAGTCTTTGCTAGTAAAATAAGCCTGGGTCATGAGTCTGAGTATCATGTTTTGTTTTCTTACTTCTTAACCCACATTCATGTTTGCCCAGGGATGATTTCATAAATGTCTATCAACTCATTGGTGATGACACCAAAGCTTAGTGTCCAACTCTAAGCTTTCCAGAAAGTACAGAAGCCAGCTGGTTTCGGCATCACAGCTCTTGACAACAGTACATTGCCAAACTCTTGCCATCCTTCAGCCTCCAATACCTTTGGGATGGCTCATGCTCTTCCTCATTCCACAAAGGGGTGGGGGAGCGATTAGACAATTCCTCTCAGAGATACCAGAGAAATGAAGCTTTTAAAATAGCAACTTTTATTTGTTCTTTCATGAAAAGTTAGATAGAAAATTGCATCTTCTAAGTAATTGTTCTGCCTTGATGGATTAGAGTAGCTGGCCACTGTAAATCCTTGAACCGGTTTTGAAACATCCTACTGTGGTGGTGTGAGAAGTGGAGATACACATGACTCTTTCTGAGAATGTCATTTGGGGGAGAACAGAACTCTTGAGACATAAGCCAGCTCTGGGTTACTCTAACAAAGGCAAAGTAAGGACCAGTTTCCTGTCCATCTTGTCCTGCTATGGGAACTCCTCAGGCATCAGCCCTCACAACTGACAAGAAAAGTAATCCAAAACAAGGGGTGCTGAGCTATGGCATGTCCTCCAGCTAAAACTAAACTACTGAACTGGTTGTGAGAGAGTTACAAAGAGACAGCTGGAGACAGAGGTTGCTTACATGCGTATCACAGAGTCCGAACCAGAAGCTCCTTAGAGAGAGGAACAATGTAAAACCTGAAATCCAGGGTCAAAAATCTACCCAGCAGCTTCATAGCCTTCTAGTTTCAGAAGCCAGAAACTAAATGTCCGCTGAAGTAAGCAAGCGAATGAACAAAAATCCTACTTGCACAGAACAGGTTAATTCTCGGTAGATCCCCAACTCCACCCCCACAACTGTCAGAGTCCTTGAAAGAGAGACTTGTGCTTGAATGTGGCTCTCAGGAGGACTCTGTTTATCCAAGGTGTGTCCCTAATACCGAATTAACAGTGGAGTAAGTATGACAGAAATCTAAGAAGGAAAATAAAACAAGACTCAAGTGCACTGCTTAGACCTCATAGAGGTGGAGTAGAAAGTGAATGTGATAACAAGGGCACAGCTACTCACTGCTCAGGGCAGTCACAAAAGGCGTATGAGGCACTCAGAATAAATGCTCCAAATGCCCCCGAAGTCCTTTTGTGTCTGCAACTATGGGCACACCTCCTCTCCACACCATCCTTCCCCGTCTCTGGCCCACTTACAATACATGACGGAGAGGTTGTGGAGAAAGCAGAACCCTCCTCCATTGCTGGTGGGAATGCAAACTTGTGCAACCACTTTGGAAATCAATCTAGTGCTTTCTCAGACAACTAGGAATAGCGCTTCCTCAAGATCCAGCCATACCACTCCTAGGCATATATCCAAAAGGGGCTCAAGTACACAATAAGGACATTTGCTCAACCATGTTCGCAGAAGCTTTATTCATAATAGCCAGAACCTGGAAACAGCCCAGATGCCTCTCAAGGGAGGAATGGATACAGAAATTGTGGTACATCTACACAGTGGAATACTCCTCAGCCCACTTACATCACATGCTCCATCTCATTTTTGTGACTCTTCCCTGCTTTTCTAGTATGCTTCTGTAAAAGGCTCCTTATTTAGTGTGGGTTTAGTTATAATGCTAATTCATTCACCACTTCCAGGCCTTCAACCTCTTCTCAATAGCAAGTGAAGACATCCTTTGGTAACTCTGATTTAACTATATGAAACTAAAATGAGACTATATAAGGTTTGTATACTTTTTGAAGTTTTGCACCAATTTAAAAAAATTATTTTTTTTCTAATACCTTCTTGTGTTTCTGTTAAGTAAAATGGTTACTTTCTACGTTTCACATACTTCCTTTAATCTTGCTTTTCAAAATTAGTGTCAGTGAAGTGGAAAATATACATGGGAGCCAGTGACAGAGAGTGTGTCTGAGTTTAAAGCCCAGGCCAAACAAGCCCAGGTTATCTGTCCTGGTTTTCTTCTTTCTTGTTGGTTGTGCCTGTGTATTCTCTTCTGATTGTGTCTAGACTGACCCTTGTACCTTACCCGACTTAAAATTATTCCTGCAATCTCAGTATTGGTGCACATGCATGCATGCACCCACACACGCACATGCAAACACCTGTGTTCTTCAGACCCTTGGACTCATAGGCTTCTTTTGCTGTGAGTGCTATGGTACATTTTTTCTTCTGCTTGAAGATCTCTCCTGTGCTCCTGGGAAAACTAACTTTTTTCCTGTCTACAAGTGTCAACTTTCATTTATCCCCCGACCAGGTAAAATCCACTTCATTAAACCAGTTCAGAACATTTGACACAATTACAATGATAAATTTTTTAGGGTGTGCTTTTAAGTAACATTTCTTACTCACCAAAGATTACGTTTAATGATTACGTCTTTTTAGTTCACCCTTATGTCTCCCATACTAGTACAATTCCCAAACAGTCAACACTTAAGTATTTGTGGGGTCAATGAACAAATGAGCAAATAAATGATTGACGAATATACAGTGCATTTGGATATATTTCTTGACAAGTAATCCTTTTCTTTTTCTAATCTCCATACATATTCACAAATTTGATTGATGTCTTGGGTCACATTTATTAGGACTGGAATTCCTGATAAGTATAAAAGATACTGAACATGATAAAGACGAGCCTACAAGGAATGATAACTGTTGTTTCTGTAAAGGAGTAAACAAACATGCTCATTGTTTTTAACTTATAATTTAAGAAAGATGAGTATGCAAAAAGAACTTAATAGCTACAAATAAATAAATACATAAATAAATAAAGGCGGAGGACACTAGAGTGGTTAATTTGAGAGTCACCTGAGAGAAATTCCATAAAGGAGCAGATTTTCCCCTAGGTGACAAGCACCTTCAGAAGAAGTGCTTCTCCCAGGTGAGGGCACTCGTCCTTTGTTACTATAGGTGTCCTCCTCCTCTAATACCAGATTAGGCCCAACTGAGGCACCCAGCCTCGTAGACTGGCCAGTAAAAAGGCTCGTGGCTTCTCAGGCAGGCAGCCAGCCACTGTTGGACTGCCCAGTCTCCATCATGTAAACCATTCTAGTAAGTTCTCTTCTTTTTCTGTCAGTTCTGTCTCTCTGGAGGATCTTGACTGATACAGACACCATGATGAAAAGAAGAAATCATTGAGAGATGGACCCGAAAGAACAGTCACGGTTAGATAAATACAAAACTGAGCTGGTACTCAACAGCACATGCAAAGTAGCTTCTAGACTGTCCAACCTGTGCTGAGGACAGAGATCTATAAAGTTAATGGAAGACCGTGCAGAATAAAAGACTGTATCCCTGGAGGTGGAAAGGGTTTTCAAAATTAAGAATAGTACTACCTCAACATCTAACTATACCACTCCTAGGCATATATTCAAAATATGCTCAAGTCTACAACAAGGACATATACTCAACCATGTTTGTAGCAGCTTTATTCATAATAGCCGAAATCTGGAAACAACCCAAATGTTCTTCAACTAAGGAATGGAGACAGAAATTGTCATACATTTACACAATGGAATACTATTCAGTAATTAAAAACAAGAAAATCAGAAATTTGCAGGCAAATGGTAGGAACTACAAAAGATCATCCTGAGTGAGATATCCCAGAAGCAGAAAGACACACATGGTATATACTCACTTATAAGTGGATATTAGACATATAATATAGGAGAATCACACTAAAATCTATACACCTAAAGAAGCTAAGCAAAACGGAGGACTCTGGGTAAAATGCTCAATGCTTATTCAGAAAGGCAAACAGTA